CGGGGGATTTCAGTTTTATCTGTGTCCCCACACTCAATTTTCCAAAAATCCTTGGCACACCCCATCTTGCTGTTTTTCTGGGCCTTCTTTCCGCATTCTTAGCACTCCGAAGGGAAGACAGCACAGGGCGTGCGGTTGGTATCGGAGCCGACACGTGTCGGTTCTGATGATAGTAAGTCGAACTGGCAAGAGGTAGAAGAAGTCCTCAACCTGCTCATCGAGATCGCCCAGTGACCAGATCTAGATCTGGTGCGGCTAGACCAGCTATGTCAATGGCTGACGGTAACGTAGTGCCCCTAGGGTGATTGTTAGTATTGCCGCCCCTTTTCCTTTCTTTCCTAATCACACCCACCCCGAAGCTTGGTTGGAAGCCGTCGAAGCTGAAGGATATGGCGCGGGAGATCTCCCCCGCGTCATTACCCTGCTGCTTCGCAACACAACACATGATTGGTTTAGGAAACACGGATGGGTAGATTGGAACACCTTCAAGCAAGCGTTCTTGGCCAGATTTGATATGGTCAGCGAAGACGCCGCCTGGTATGTACTCAAAACTCGACCGCAAGAACCAGGAGAGTTGCTGCCTGACTTCGTGGATCGATTCCAAACTACGTTGGACAAATCAGGGCGGGATGAAAAGTTCGCTCGAGATCTATTCATCGATCATCTACGAAGTCCGACGCTAAAAGCTAAGCTGCAGAAAAAAAGGTCCCCCCCAAAACGAACCAGCTATCTGCTATCATCACCAAAGCGCTTGAGTTAGACCTGACGAATACAAAGAAGTATATCAGCTAAGGAAACGAAGACATTACAGACACGATTCAGGATGTTGTGACGAAACGACGGTCGTGGTTACGAGCGGTAGAACGATTATATCCCCGGCCTGATCATGACCTTCCCGGAGGAGCCGCCTCTGATATCTCGTCAGTTCCTTCTCTGATTCTCTCAATGAACCAACAGGTAGCAACAGTTAAACCCAAAAGCCCTCAAGACCCCGCCTCTACGACCATAACAAACATACATTTGACACAGATGATCCATACAGCTACTACCAAACAATCTGAAAGGATGAGCAATCTGGTCCAAATGCAGGCGGCTCACATGGATCGAATGGAACAGATAATGGACAGACTAATTAAGCCCAACCCGACTCCTGCTCGACCCGCCCCTGCATCGTTCCCGCTCTTGCCTGCTCCGCCTGCACATGGACATGCACCGCAGTTCCCTCACGCAACCAACCTGGCAGGGAAAATCGAGTGTTACAATTGCAAACAGCCCGGGCATTTTGCCCGGGACTGTCCGCAGCCGAAACGAAATCAGCCCCTACCTGCCGCAACCCCCGTAGCTCTGAATCAAGGACGAGTGGCCGCACTAATGGATATGGCCCGAAACGAGGAGATCATTGCATACGCCCCTGAGCGACCTTCCCCCTCAATGGCGGTTGCATCGACCTCAGGAACTTCTTCCGAAGCTGCTGACGTGGTTGATCTAGTCGAATACCTTCATCTCGCCGGCATGATTGGAGCCATCCGACCAGCCCACGACGATCTTGAATGGGTCGAACGTGAATCTAACCCCGGACCACAGTTTCGGACGGGAGAAATCGATGTACTATGGACGCTTAAGCAACTGGACATTCGTGTTCCGGTCCCAGTGGGACATTTGCTCACCATATCCGCAACAGCAAATGACAAGCTGTTGCAACAATGTCAGAAGAATCAAGAGCGTTTTACATACCAGTGCATACAACGAATGTTGAAAAAGAAGAAGGAAGGAGGGGAGGATGTTACACCGCCTGAACCCGAAAGCGCTGAACCCGAAGCAGCGCGAGTAGCTAAGATTTCTTTAGCTGAGAAAGATCATTTCGTGCGAGCTCGACCAGTATTATGGAAAAGAGCGGAGTGTGATTGTGAAGTATGGGGCAAACCCTTCAACGCCCTAATAGATACTGGCTCCTCCGCGGTCGCTATATCATTGGATACGGTGAGAAGGACTGGACGACTCAGCTCGATTCTCCCTTAATCTGGCAAGGACCATTACGTCTCTGCCGACGAGGAAGCAATGAATATCGTAGGAGTCATCGAGAATGTGGCCGTGAAAGTTGGACGAGTACACGTCCTCGTTAACGCTTTACTCATAGATGTGCACTCATATTCAGTGTTGTTGGGACTGCCTTGGGCAATGGCGGTAGGTGCCCGCATGCATTTCGATTCCAAACAGTTGGTGCTCACACAAACAGGAGGCAAGCCTCAGACAGTTCCGTTGCGGATTTCAACCTGAACAATAATAAAAAATCCTAATTCTGCTCGGATAGGGATGATTCAAGGTCCCGATCACGATGAATTTTCATCCCTGGATAACAGTAGCGGATTCGAAGAACAGGAGTGCGAGGAAGAGATGCCTAGTGAGAGCGAATGGAAACACTTGGTCGAACTTTTCGAGCACGAAACCCCCGAGGAATTTCGGATGGTTCCCAGAGCCGCCCGAACCTTCCACTTGAGTCTGGAAGACAACGAGCTCGCGCCTCTGGAAACCCAGGTCAGTCCTTCGACCTTTCTCGGGGAACCCATCTTGCAAATATCTGACCTGGCAGATGATTTGGAACCCCCTCGCACCTTATACGAGGGAACACTTTCCCTCCGAGCACACTATCAACAGGCGAAACAATACCTGGATGTTTCTGTTTCCCCTCCGAGGTCGTTAGTTACAACAGGAGCAACCATCGCACTGATAAAACAAGAAGTCGAAGCTCCCGTCGATGATGTGCCCGATCTGATGTAGGAAATGGCGGATTTAACAGGACTAACAGTGGAAGAAACCACGATTGATTCGGAGACTGGTGCCGAAGTTAAAGAGACCGAGATGATTAGCCCCGCCGAATCCCAAATGATCGCGACTGTGTTTTCTGTCCGCACTAGCAGCTCTATTTTTTCTAGTGTCCACGACCGACGGAATCGGCTTGCTGATTGGATCGATATGCCCCTTGAGATACCCGATCGACCGACTGTCACTCTGCCCGATCACTTGCTCCTAGAATTTCGAAAATCTCTGATTAATGTTTTGAATGGGTACGTAGAGGTATTAAGCGTACGCGATAACAATATTGGGCTGTCTAACATGATCGAGCATGCCATCCTTATGGGGAATCATCCACCCATTAGTTGCGTTCCTTATCGATACTCGCCAACCAAACGGGCGGCCGCGTTTCAACGAATTAAGGAATTCGAAGCTAATGGATGGATCGAACCCGCTATAGGACCTTGGTCGTTTCCTATGGTTATCGTGCCCAAGAAGGCAGGAGGGATTCACATATGCATCGATTATCGAAAACTAAACGATATCACGATCAAAGATGTGTACCCCCTTCCCCGGATTGATGAGCTGTTGGATGCGATTGGGAGTGCTCAATTTTTCAGTAAGTTTGATGTTCGACATGAGTTTCATCATCTTCCTGTTCGAGAGGAGGATCGTCCGAAAATGGCGTTTGCACCGTTCGACGGTACTTGGCAATGGGTTCGATGTCCAATGGGCATCTGCAATGCTCCTACAACATTTCAGCGAGCCATGAACATGGTTTTCCATAACTTTGTGCAGAAGACACTTCTGGCATAGAGTATCATCAACTATTGCGTGATTGTGTACATGGATGATATTCTGGTGTATTCGAGTTCCTACTAGGGGCATGTGCAACACATCGAATGGACGCTACATGCATTGAGAGATGCCGGTTTCAAGGTGGCGCTCAAGAAATGCCAGTTCTTCCTCACCACCATTTCCTTCCCGGGACATGTGGTGACCGACCAGGGGCTCAGACCGGAATCGCAAAAGGTGGCAGTCGTAAGAGACGCGCCTGTGCCCACAACTATTACGCAAGTTCGCGCCTTTCTGGGCCTAGCCTCGTATTACCGAAGGTTTATCAAGGGCTTCGCGGCTATTGCAGGTACCTTCACGAATCCGCTGAAAAAGGATCAACCGTTGATTTGGACGCAAGAGTGTGATCAAGCGTTTTTGGAACTTAAGGTAACCCTCATTTCGGCTCCGATCCTTATAAGACCGGATCGTGAAAAGCCTTTTGTCCTCATCACGGACTGCCAGCTAGAGGCAATCTCAGCGATCTTGGCCCAGGTGGCACCAGGCGGACTGGAATGCGTGGTGGAATACGCGTCTAAATCGGTGCCTGCCTGCAAGCGCAATTACGCCGCCCTGACAGGAGAATGCTATCCGGCTCTGTGGGGAATCAGTCACTTTCGAGCCTATTTGTACGGGCGGAAGTTCACGCTGGTCACCGATCATGAGCCATTATTAGCCCTGAAGAAATCTAAGGATTACTCGGGCATGATCGGGAGATGGGCAACGGTGCTACAGAACATGGACTTTGACATTCGTCATCGGAAGCACGAGAGGCACGGGAATGCTGACGGGTTGACACGACTGCACCAACCTGAGAAGGTCCTCAATGGCGAGGAGGTGATTCTGTGGAACGAGCCGAAGGAGGAGAACGGACCCCGATACAGACACGTGGAAATTCTGTCGAGGGAGTGAGTGACACGGAGCTTCGCTCTGCCCTCTCCGCAGCCCTGCTCATTCTCTCTCATCCCCTCTCATCATGGCTACCCCACCTGTTTCTGCGACCCCTTCTTCCCCTGCTGATTCCGACCCTCTCGCCTCCTCGGCTTTCTTCGCCACCCTTCCCGACAAATTCTGCAATTTTTGCACGTGCATTACACGGGTTTATGGGGTGGATTGTCATCCTTTTGAGACCGGATTCATTGAATGGGTAAACTGTGCCACGTGTGTCAATCGTGCACACGGTGTATGCGTTCGATACCGAACGAATAATAGGGAATGAAAGTGCCCTCTGTGTAGAACGGAGAAACTCCCTACTGAGGCGCGATTCGAGGCTGCATGAACGAACAACCCTGAATATGACGAGAAATACCGACGAGCAGAGGTCTGTACGGATAAAATTTTATTAGCTAAATTGGCTGGTTTACCATTGGATCATCTCACTAAGCACGAAAGACGTCGGACTACCGAAAGCTCCCGGGATTATCAATGAATCAACAGTCACCTAGAGAAGCGTAAAAATGACGGATCGGGTTTGTGGTTGACGGTTCCTCATCCATTCCAGAGATATGATTGGACCCGATCTGCTCACGAAGAGCAGGCTGCTCACTTCGCGATACGTGTCACGGAAGCAACTATAGATCAGAGTCGATGGTTCTGGTCTAATATACAGGACGATGTCAGATACTTAGTCCCCAATTGTCGGGTCTGTGCTGCCGACCGTGCCCCAATACGGGGACCAAACACGATAGTACCGACGGAAGTAGAGCGCCCTTTCCAGCGAGTCATATGAACACAACAGATATCGACGTGCCACCTGGCCCAAACCGTTGCGAATATATCAATTTAGTTTTAATAGACCATTTTTCCAAATACATCGAGGTCTACCCCTACAAGACCCGTAAGGCCACAGAGATAGCCACGTACATCGATCGGTTCCTCTATACCCACCTAGATACGGAAGAGATTCTAACCGACAACGGGTCCGAATTCAAAGGTGAGGTAGAGGAATTACTCGCACGACGAGGCATTATGCTTTGACACACGACACCCTACGTTTCCCAGTCGAATGGGTTGGCCGAAAATGCCAATCGCATGATTAAGACTGCCCTCCGTGGAAATCTAGCGGCACTTAACACGCGTCCTTGGTCCGAGATCGTATACCAAATCGTCAGAATACACCGGGCCACCCCTCACGAATCCACTGGGTTCACCCCTTTCAGCTTCAGACCAATAGCCTCCCATGTGTTGATTACCGGGGCAACTCGGAAATTACCGACGCCAGGGGTAGAGACACGCGTGCCGCCCTTAAGGCCAAGGCCAAAAGGTACGCCGATTTAATGGAAAGGGCCGTCTCGAAGCTTGCCCAAAAGAGACAGAAAATGACTGAGCTAGCCCACGGAAGGCAAGTCCGTAGCTACGAGGCCCGAAATGGAAACGCAGGTCCCCAACATCAATATAAATTAGGGGACGTGGTGCAGGTACGTAAATGTGCACGCGACCGAAAACTCGCTCCCAAATTCTCTGGTTGTTTTCACGTTGTCGAGCTCGGGCCCAATAGTGCCAACACTCTGCGCATTGCGCCCGAAGCAAGTGCCAACCATAGCTCTGTTCCCATCGTCCGACATACTTCTTACATCCGTCCCCTCCCTCCGTCTGATCTGCCTCCGTCTCCCTCATCTGCTGAAGAAGAGGACGACGACGATCTAGTTCCCGCCTCGTTCTCTCCCTCCTGCTCCCATCTTTCATCTTCTTCCCCGTCCTCGCCATGAGTTTCATCACGGAGCAAGCTCTTGGGAATCATCTGCTGCAGCCACGTGGCTACATCTCTGAGATCCGGCAAGTTCGTCATCCGCGGCTCAGTCCTAATCTTCGAAGATTGGCGCAGTTCTTCTGCACCGAGGGAGTGTGTGCCGCGGCTGCGTTCCGATTCGCCGGAAGCCCACAGGCAGTAGTATTGGCGGGGGTGGTAGCGCTTCACAGGCGGGCGGCTCCAAGAACGAGCCACGTCACCACGGTCGCTGCCTTCAACGGCGATATCAGCACGGCCAGCCCGCTTCGACATACCGCGATCCTGACTTCATTGCGGGAGTGGACGCAGCAGTTATCGACTGAGTGGCATCACAGTCTTGCGCGCCCCGGGTGCAACCTTATCCCAACGTGCGGGACCGACTTCAACAAGCTTCGTACCTCTACGCGCCAGCCGGCACTGGCGCTCCCCACACTCGTCCCCTTCCAACGCCCCCAATGAACCGTGCCACTCCTCTCGCTGCTCTCTCCACCTTTGGTCTTCCCTCTCTTTTCCCCACCTTCTGGCAATCCGATCTTCACCCCCGCCTTTCCTTCTTGCTCGAGCCTCTTGCAGTCCCGCTCCTCGATCCCAGGCATTGGCGGGCGCGGCGCGAGATCTTTGTCGATTTGTCTGTGTGCTTGGCTCGAGTGGAGGTGACGTGGACAAGGACCGATGAGCATCAGGCGTGTATTGAGTACCTGGAGCTACTGATAATCCAGCCTTGGAGAACTGATGTGGAGGGCGATCTTCTCGGTTTTCTTTTCGGATCGGTGGGGCCAGGTCATCGCCAGCTAATTGTTCAGGAACTCGTCGTCCCGCTCGCGCAATTGGTCGACGACCTCTCTCTCGATATTGTTTCGCAAAGTGACGAGAGCCCAGCTCCGCACGTCGTTATGCGAACTTTGGCGCCGCATCTTCAGTGGACTGCATGCTTGGAGGAACCGAGGAGTGAAAGCACCCTGCCATCGCGGCAGGAGTACTTGAAGCCAGCCGGAATCATCGATCTCGCCTTCTATGCGAAGCAAGATTCATCCGAGGAGGCAGGAGAAGAAGAAGCCATCGAGGAAGAGGACGACACCGAAGAAGAGACGCCGGAGGAAGGGAGTTATAGCGAGCACAGCGAAGGGGAGCAGAGTGAAGAAGAAGAAGAAGAAGAAGAAGAAGAAGAAGAAGAAGAAGAAGAAGAAGAAGAAGAAGAAGATGAAGAAGAAGATGAAGAAGAAGAAGAAGAAGAAGAAGAAGAAGAAGAAGAACACGAAGACGAAGAGGAGGAAGCTAGATCGGAGTGGGAGGCCTTGCCGGAAGAAGCGGCACGCCCAGGCACGGAGGCGGAAGATCCTGAGGCGGCACGTAGAAGGGAAGAGATCGCCTCCGGGAACAGCCAGCTGGAGTTCGCCAGCAAGGCGAACCTGCGCATCGACGACGACCCGACCAGAGATCCAGAGCCCCCCGAGCCCAAAGATGGCGGCCCAGCAACCGCGGCTCCGAGCGCATCGCGACGGAGACGGAGCCGATCCCCCTCCCCCTCCACCTCAGCCTGTCCCCCTGTTCGTCCACGTACCGATGTGGGGGATCGGCCTTCGTCCCCGGTCATTATCCCGCCGTCCCCTTTATTACCTCACCCTCTGTCAGATCTCTACCCCTGTCACCTTCACTCGCAACCCCTTCCCTCCCAATACCTTTCGTCCCTTTTACTCCATCCGCCTCGCCGTCACCATCCATCCCCATCCTTCTCTTCAAAGCGCCAACCCCACGTTCTGTTTGCACATCCTTTTATTTAGTGCCGCGTGGGAACAGAGCAACGCAGTAGAAGTCTACTGCGTAATCACAGGAACCATCCGTGCATGTCGCCATCACGAGTTGTTTCGCGCGGCGCTCTTCCTCACTTTCTCCACCCTTTACCCTGACTACCTCGCCTCCCTCCCTCACAGCGGCGATCGGTTTCCCCGCTTTCACCGGATCATCCGCTACGAGGAACTTCCAATCACAAAGGAAGGGATGAACCGCTACTTACCCCCACTCCCCCCCAACCCTCCCCGTCGACACCCCCCCATGTATAATGTCTATTTTCCCATTCCCACGCGACGTTGATACCCGATACGTGTCGCGAAGGCGGCCCATCCCACCCTCTTCTTATCTATAACCTTTTTTAGCGTGGCGATCGACAGGAAAAATCGCCACGTGTCCCCCGTGCAACACGAATCAGCAGTTTCGCGCAGATCACGCCATTGACGATGATGTCAACTCATGCTCTGATTCGACGGATTGCGCTGGACTGAGGGTGCAGAGCACACGGAGATCTGATGGACCATGATGGTGCCACCTGGACGATCTCCGAAGTCTGAAGGGCAGGGGGTTACATATGATAGGACTGCAGGAGATGGGATCCGAAACAGCACGAGCCGGCATGCTTCACGAAGATCTTGCCACGGATGTTGTCGCCAGCTCATCGTGCTGATCTGAGCTCTTGCTTCTTCATCTCCTCCTACTTCTTCCGGCTTCTTCATCTCCTCCTACTTCTTCCTGCTTCTTTATCTCCTCCTACTTCTTCCTGCTTCTTCGTCTCCTCCTTCTTCCTTTGATCAAAGTTTTTCATGCAATCAGGAGATCGCATAGTTTTGGAACCCCCTGCGCGTCACATATGTGACGAACCACTTCCCGGCCCCGTGCTATCTTTCGTATCCCTTGACTCAATTCCCCCTTTTTGTATCATACCGACCCAACAAAACCCCCGTCATTTTTCTTGATTTCAGGTGCCTTGTTTAGGCCCCCATTTTTCAGAGCTTCTATTTATTCTTGAAATTCTTCTTTTTTTGATTCGGAAAATGCATGGGAAATTACGTGCGCCCTAGCAAGCACACTGGGAATCGGGCTCAACAGTTAGGAATTCCGGGATAAATGGAACCCGACGTGTCCTTTTTGTGCGTGCATGTTCTCGGTCACGTCAGGGAAAACTCTAGGAATTTTGTGAGAATACGGACAAGCGTAGGACTTTTTTTTTCCGCGTCAACTTTCGCGCGCGGATATGGCGATTTCAATTTTCGAATTGGTATAGGACATAGGCAAACTGTAACTGTTCTGGTGCCTTTTCTTTTTGTTGTCGGCGCCGCGTATGCAAGCTTCCTCATCCTTGTTTCCCGCGTCCACCTTCCCCCGTGCTCGCTTCTCTTCCTCTCCCTTCCCCCTCCTCTTCTTTTCCTATCGCAGCTGTTTTTTTCCTCTCTATCTCTCTCTACTCTTTGCGCGCTTGTTCTCCCTTCTTGATCATCTGGAACTTGGACCTGTTTCGTGCTGCTTTTCGCGCCTCTTTCCTTCTCGCTCTTCAACCTTGGCTCACAAAGCCCGGTTGATCCTCCGATTACCCTCGCTCGCCAATCAGACGCGCTGAGCAAGAGGACCTTCCTATTGCACGATGAATCTGATTGGCCGAATATCGGGTTCCGAAGGATCAACATGGCTTCCCTTGAGCGTCCCTCGCTGAACCTTCTCCTCTTACACTTCGATTTCCCCTATGTCTTCTCCCCCATCTGTCTCCTTTCTCGCAACTATAAATTCCGCAAGCACGCCCGCAAAGCTCTCTTACGTTTTCCACTCGCAAGCCAGCTTCCGAGAAGCAGTGGCTAGGTGATGCGTTTGGTGCGAGTCGAAAAGTCATGTCGGGTTGACCGTAGGTTGGCCGGCTGCGCGCTTGACCGCCACAACGGACTGTGGGATCCGGGCGAGCCGAGTCGAGTCTGCGTCAGCGGGATGACGATCGCAGTGGCAGAAGTTAGCACGTGACGATCGGGATCGTCGGTGCGGGTATGAGGATCTGTAATTGAAGTTGAGTGGATGAATGGCCTGGGGCCATATTGGAATTTCACGGCGAATGCGCCTTCATGGTTGCGGATCAATTCTTTTTGGTATGAGTTCACGGCTGCGAAGCCGAATGCTTCCTTGTCGGATTTCCGGTGTCTCCTGTCTCGAGATTTCTCGTCTCTCTCTCTTTCTCTCTCTTTCTCTCTCTCTTTCTCTCTCTCTCTCTCTCTCTCTCTCTCTCTCTCTCTCTCTCTCTCTCTCTCACTCTGATTGGAATGATGACGTGTTAAGAGTTTGTCTCTCCTGTGACCGAAGTGAACTCTTGTGATTTCCTGTGAAGAAGAACTTCTTCCGGAACTCTTCCATTAGTTTCCTGGGTAATCCCTTGATGTAAGGGAGCCCAACCATCTTGTCTTGTGAACGGTGGATGCGTGTGTACAATCCCCCGATCTACTTCTGATGTGTGCATCGTTGTCATTTTCGCACCTTCCACAGTGGATGTATGTATAGAGATGCTTGTATTTTCGCGTTGATTACACACAAATTTTA